CATATAGCAGCTCACTTTCTCAGCATGTTCAGTGAGTGTTTCAGGTGTTAACATTTTCAGGTGAAACCTGTGTTTCAGGTGCTTCGTAATGTTAACCTTTTCACACCTGCTGCTAAATTAGAAATGGCTACTCAGCAAAAATTTACTGTTAATTTGGCAGCAGCTGTAAAGGTTAAAACTAGACTTCATTCCTGCCACTTGCTGGCCCAGCACAGCATCTCCATGGTTCTATTTTAAAGAAGGAAATTATTTTCTGTGCTTAAGATATGGCCCCCAGTTTTAGAGGGCTGATTTGTTGAGGGGTAGGAAAGGTATGTGTGCCATGTGAATAAATATGGTGAGTGCCTGCAAGCTAGTCATTGTGGTGCTTAAATTTTAGGTGCGTGGTCCTCCAGATGGAATCCAAAACCTGACGTAGGCAGTTGGGCTCCATATACAATGGATTGGAGAGATTTAAGACCTCCAGAAAGGCAACCCAGAAACCAACATGTTGAGTGGGGAGCCTAGCTGTACATTCTTGTGCTTAGGAAAAAAATATCAACAGGTCTGAAATACCACCCTCTATCCAGGGATTAGGCAGCTAAACTAGAATTGCAGTGCCTAGATCTACTGAGGATCCAGAGCATGGAATCCTGTAGAGGGTAGATGTTTCTTTGGAAGAACTGATTGGTGCTCCTGTTTCTTTTTAAATGTAATCACACTTTAAAGTAAATAGCAACATCTGCAACTGAATTTTATGGAGTGTCCAGTCCTGTTGAGGCACCCTGTATACTCTGACTATTTCTGCCTGATTGTGCATATGCAGAAGACTTGGAAGCTAGGCAGAGCAGCACCTGATTCCCATTACTGGGACTGAACATCTAGCAGGTCAGGCCAGGGCACTTTTGGGAAAGCATGGAAATAACCATGTTGGTATGCTAGGAACTTTATGGCCCAGCAGGGACGTGCTTTATGTATTTCGGGTGTTTCTGAGGTTAGGCAGCTACTGAACAGAATTAGGGGAGGAGAGGAGGTTTGCATTTGCGCAGGTCTTCTTTTAGATCTGGGCTTATGTGATCTTGTTTGTTTGAAAATTCCACTTGTAGTGAGTATGGCCATTGGAAATGCTCTTTGGAATGTCAACCAAAGTAGAAAAAGGTGGTTGATTCTCAAAAGATTCTTAAAGCTATAATGGCCACAATCCCTTTGAAGAAAGGGCATTGAGTAGGAGGAAGAAAGATTTAAAGCAGTTGTGAAAGAGAGTGGTTTCTGAGAGTAAGGAGATGAAACTGAGCAAAGAGGAAAAAAAGCCTAAGTCTGGACGAGGGTGAAGGGGCTTCCCAAGAAACTATCTTGATAGTTTCTAGATCTAGATAGATTAGATAGATTAGATTATCAAGATAGATTCTTCCCAAGAATCATGAAAGAGCCAATATTTCAGTTATAAAAAGTTGTAGTGAATGAGAAACTGCAGTCTACTTTAAAGAATAATCTTTGAAGAGTGCTCTGGTGGACTAGATGATAACTATGGGAAGTAAGTATGACCTCTGCCTTCGGGTTATTTTCATAGATTCATAGATGTTGGGGTCGGAAGGGACCTCAATAGGTCATTGAGTCTGACCCCCTGCATAGGCATGAAAGTGTGCCTTTCAGATGACCCCAGCCAGATGCGTATCTACCCTCCTCTTGAAAACCCCCAGGGTAGAGGAGAGCACCACCTCCCTTGGGAGCCCGTTCCAGATTTTGGCCACTCTAACTGTGAAGAAGTTTTTCCTAATGTCCAGTCTAAATCTGCTCTCTGCTAGCTTATGGCCATTATTTCTTGTAACTCCCCAGGGCGCCTTGGTGAGTAGGGCCTCACCAATTCCCTTCTGCACCCCCCTGATGAATTTATAGGCAGCCACAAGGTTGCCTCTCAACCTTCTTGCGGAGGCTGAAGAGGTCCAGGTGCCCTAGTCTCTCCTCATAGGGCTTGGCCTGCAAGTCCTTAGCCATACAAGTGGCCCTTCTCTGGACCCTCTCCAAGTTGTCCACATCCTCTTGAAGTGTGGCACCCAAAACTGCACGCAGTATTCCAACTGTGGTCTGACCAGCGCTCGATAGAGGGGAAGTATCACCTCCTTGGCTCTGTTTGTCATGCATCTGCAGATGCATGATAAAGTGCAGTTAGCTTTGCTGATGACTTCGTCACGCTGACAACTCATATTCATCTTGGAGTCCACTAGGACTCCGAGGTCCCTTTCTGCTTCTGTGCTGCCGAGCAGGTAATTTCCTAGGCAGTAGGTATGCTGGACGCTTTTCCTCCCTAGGTGCAGCACTTTGCATTTCTCCTTGTTAAATCGCATTCTATTGTTTTCTGCCCATTTGTCCAACCTGTCCAGGTCTGCCTGTAGTTGTTCCCTGCCCTCCGGTGTGTCAGCTTCTCCCCACAGTTTTGTATCATCCGCAAACTTGGACAGAGTACACTTCACTCCCTTGTCCAAGTCACTGATGAAAACATTGAAGAGTATTGGTCCAAGGACGGAGCCCTGCGGGACCCCATTGCCCACGTCCTTCCAGGTCAATACGAACCCATCCACCACGACTCTCTGGGTACGACCCTCTAGCCAATTTGCCACCCACCGGACTGTGTAATCATCCAAGTCACAGCCTCTTAATTTGTTCACCAGTATGGGGTGGGATACCATATCGAAGGCCTTCCTGAAGTTTAAGTAAATGATATCTACCCCTACTCCTGTGTCCAGGTGTTTGTAACCTGGTCATAAATTAATTAATTAATTTAATTTTGTGGCAGTAATTTGACCACCCGCTGAACTTTCTCTATATGTTAATATTCTTTGGCAACTTGGATTTTTTTATGTATTAGATTTATATACTGCCCTTCCCAAAAAGGCTTAGGGTGGCTCACAATAAAAGACAAAAACAGAATTTAATATTTAACGTGGTGGAGGCAAATGTCCCTTGAAGTGTGGACAGCTAACTGCTGCATGGAATCAGTGTTTCAGTAGAGATTAGGGCTGTGCGAACCTTCAGTCCCTGATTCAATTCGGCAGAGATTCAGCCCGATTCGGCAGCTGAATCTCCCGATCCAAATTGAATCAGGAGACTCTTTAATCTCTCCGAATCCAGTTGGAACCCTCTGAATCGATTTGGAGAGATTTAGAAAGATTCGGCGATTCAGCATAGGCACAGCTTTAAATGTTTTTTCTACATACCTCAAGGTACCAGGTGGCTCGTCAATGCTGTGATGGTGAGGCGGATGGAGCGTCCCACAGGAGCGCGGGGGGCTCCCCAGCATGCTCAGCAGCAGACCAAGAAGTGGACCAGAAGCACTTCCAGTCCACTTCCGGGTCTACCGCGGAGCATGCTGGGGGGCCCCCCTATGCCCCTCGACTCAGCAACTGGTGTGTTCTGGGTCTGGGGTGGCACCCAGGGTCCCCCCGCTGTCAACTGCTGAGCTGGGGGGCGCAAGGCATGACCCCGGCGCACTCCCCGGCAGACCCAGATGTGGACTGGGAGTACTTCTGGTCCGCTTCCAGGTTCACTGCTGAGCACATGGGGGGGCCCCCTTGCACTCCTTTGGGATGCTCCTTCCACCTCATCATTGCAGCATTCACGAGCCACACCTGGTACCTCGAGGTATGTAGAAAAAACACTTAAAGCTGTGTCTATGGCTGAATCGATGGTTCTCCAGATCAGCATCAAATCTTCAGATTCAGCCAAATTGAATTGGGGACAGTGACCCGGATCAGTGAATCAAATCATTGTCCCCGATTCAGGCCGAATCTGAATCCGAATTGAATCCAACCCATTTCGCACACCCTTAGTAGAGATAAAGTCAAAGTATAAATAAATAATCAGTGCACTGTAAAAGGCTGTAAAATTTGAAGAGAAACAGAAACCACTCTAAGGTTGTGGGTGGGGAAGGAGGAAGAGAGGTAGTGGGAGAGGATTTCCTATTGGAGATCAGGAATG